GCCCCATTCCCGCGCCTCTAACTCGATCTTCCTTCTGCTCACGCACATTTATTGGTCCTTCGAGCCGGATTTCGCGACCGATATCCGCGCCGCGAGTGAGTGGTCAAGGGTGAGCTTCTCGTGCTACGAGTGACCGCCTGGAAGACGAAGATGAGCAACCCTGAGATGGAGGGACTTATCCGTTCGCAGAACGAACTGCACGGACGCATCGCACGCGCCTATGAAAACTTGAAGAAAGCGGGAGGCGCAAGATTGACAATGGGACTGGTGAATGCTCGCCTCCAAGCCTTGGAATCGAACTGGAACAAGTTCGAGGAACAACACGGCAAACTGCTATTAATGCCTCCAGATGTTCTCGCCGCCACTGACTATAAGGAACAGGACCTCCCGGCTTTGGTGGAGGAGACCTTCTTAACGCAGAAGGGAATGTTCCTGGACGTCCTCCTGTCGCACAAGGCGAGGGAGGAGGCTGCAGCTAAGAATGAGACTTCGGAGACGGCGACAACGACGAATCGCACCACGTTACCGCGGATTCAGCTGCCGGAATTCTCAGGCAAATACGAGGACTGGCCGTCGTTCCGCGACCTCTTCCACTCTCTCATAGGCCGGGACGCTAACACGACGCCGGTGGAAAAGCTGCACTACCTCAAAACTTCCTTGAAAGGTGAGGCTGAGTTATTAGTCCGGAATATCGCGACGACGGCCGAAAATTATGACAGTGCGTGGGACGTATTGAATGCGTATTATGAGAACAAGCGACTTCTCACCCGCGCGTATCTGTCCAATTTCCTTGCGCTAACGAAAATGAAGAGTGAATCGGCGGTCGAGCTTCGAAAGATTTTCCACGGCGTCAAAGCAACGGTCAGCTCGTTGGCGAGTATCGGTCGGCCTATAAACCGTAGCGAGGACTTATTCGTTTATCTGGCGGTCGAGCTACTGGATCCGCGTTCGCGACGCGAGTGGGAAACGTCAATCGGCGACACGACCGAGCCTCCGACGTATGCGACTCTCGAGCAATTCCTGGATCGGCAGCTGCATACGCTCGAGTCGATGCAGCCTGCTAAGGTCGACGGAGCCGCCGGTAAGGCCGCGAGCGGAGCCGCCAAATCCGCGCGGAGCCACCTCGCTCGGAAGCAGGAGGGAAATCCGGACGCCAAGCGAGGTCGTTGCCACTGCTGCCAAAAGGACCATATCCTCATGTTCTGCGAGGACTACAAGAGGAAAACAGCCCAGGAACGGAAGCAGCTCGTCGACAACAAGAACCTGTGCCTGAACTGCCTCGGTTCTCACAAGGTCAGTGAGTGCGCGTCGAAGAAGGGGTGTGCAGCGTGTGGCGCGCGACACCATACTTCCGTCCACGATGCGTGTCGCGAGGTCGAGGTCGCGAAGACGGTTCACGCGGCTCAAAGACTTGCCGTAAAGCCGAGCGCGGTGCTTCTCGCCACCGCTCGCGTCCGCGTAGCCGATCGGTTCGGAACCTTGCATCACGCTCGCGCGCTGGTCGACCAGGGATCGGAGTCGTCCCTTGTGACCGAGCGCCTCGCGCAAAGATTAAAGTTACCGCGTTCTCGCACGTCGGTTTCGATATTCGGCGTCGGCGGACAGAAAACGGCCGTCGCAAAAGGACGCGTATCGCTGACTCTCGCGCCGCGAACCGACGGCCCCGCGATGTCAGTCTCCGCGCTCGTACTCCCCCGGCTCACAATATACGCCGGCGGTATCGAGGCCGGCGCTGAAGCGTGGTCTCATCTTCAGGGTCTGGAGCTGGCGGACCCCGAGTTCAGCGCGTCCGACTCGGTGGACATCCTCCTCGGTGCCGACGTTTACGCGGAAATATTGCAAGAGGGACTTCGCAAGGGGGTAGTCGCGAGCCCGTCGCGCAAAACACGACTCTTGGCTGGATTCTGTCTGGCGCTATCGGTGAAGGTGCTTCGAGTCACTTCGCGCAATCCTACCAGTGCCGTGTCGAGGACAAACTGTCGCAACTAGTGAGACGATTTTGGGAGCAGGAGGAGGTTCCGTCGGCTGCCGGACCGCTCTCGAAAGCCGATCAGGAGTGTGAGGAACATTTCGCGCGCACACATTCGCGTAAGCCCGACGGGCGCTACGTGGTGCGACTCCCCGTCGTCGAGCCGATGCCGAATCTCTGTGGTACGCGCCGCGCGGCCGTTCGCGTGATGAAGGCCATGGAAGCGAAGTTCGCGCGAGATGCTTCCTTCCATGCGCTGTATACAGATTTCATGCGTCAATACGTCGAGCTCGGGCATATGACGCCGGTCGATCCTCCGGCCGATCCGGCGAAAATGGCCGTTTGCTATCTGCCTCACCATGGAGTGATGAAGGAAACCAGCACGACGACGAAATTGCGAGTCGTCTTCAACGGTTCTTCCGCGCTGCCGACGGGAGCGGCGCTAAATAAGTATCTGCAGACCGGGCCGAACTTGCTGCCGGCTTTGGCAGAGATCTTACTCCGTTGGCGGCGTCACCGGTACGTTTTCGCGGCGGACATAGAGAAAATGTACCGGCAGATCGAAGTCCACCCGGAAGACAGGGATCTGCAACGCATAGTCTGGCGTGAGAGCCCTAGCAATGTGTTGCTGAAATTTCTCCTAATCACTCTCACGTACGGGCTTGCTTGTTCCGCGTTCCTAGCGATTCGCACGCTCCATCAGCTGGCCAAGGACGAGGGAGTTGAGTTCCCGCTAGGAGCTATCGCCCTCCTACTGGAGACCTACATGGACGACGTATTGTCTGGCGCGGACACGATCTCGAGGGCCAAAGAGATCCGTCGTCAGCTGGACCGAATCTGCATGGCGGGCGGCTTCCCGCTCAAGAAGTGGTCGGCGAACGAGGCGTCGATACTCGATGAGGTCCCTCCTGAGGATCGCCTTCAACGCGAGCCCCGGTGGTGGCTCCTGGGAGAGAGCCACTTGACCCTCGGGCTGCGTTGGCATCCACGCGAAGATCAGTTCGCCTACTCGACGCAACTGACCCAACTGGAGGCTATTACGAAGCGGTCGGTCTTATCTTTAGCCGCTCGGCTATTCGATCCGCTGGGGTGGCTCGCCCCCACTACCGTATTAGCTAAAATTTTGTTTCAGTCCACCTGGTTGCTGGGATTGGATTGGGACACGCAGCTCCCTGACACCGACGTACGACGATGGCTCGAATTCCAGGCCGGACTGCCTCTACTGGAAACGATCCGAGTGCCCCGATGGCTGGAGAGCGATCAAGAAGGTGTTAAGCGCGAACTGCACGGATTCGCCGACGCCTCGGAAAAGGCGTACGCAGCGGTGGTCTACCTGCGGACCGAAAGCTCGAGCGGCGAAGTAGTCGTGAGCCTCGTGGCGGCGAAAACCAAAGTCGCTCCGTTAAAGCAGGTCAGCCTTGCACGGCTGGAGCTAAACGCTGCCGCCTTACTCGTCCGACTCGCCAATCATGCTCGGCGGGTCCTCAAGATAGAAGAGGATCCGACCCATCTGTGGACTGATGCGACCGTAGTGCTAGGCTGGATTCGAGGTCACCCTGCTTCCTGGAAGACATACGTGGCAAACAGAGTGAGTGAGATTCAGCTCACTCTCCCTGACGCTTATTGGCATCACGTCCCCGGGCGTGAAAACCCCGCCGACTGCGCGTCCCGAGGCCTCTTACCAAGGGAACTCGTGGAGCACCCGCTCTGGCGGCAGGGCCCGGCGTGGCTCCGAACTAAAACCGGTCCGTGGTCCGCTCCCTTGGACGACGAAGTACCCGTCGACCTCCCGGAACGGCGCTCTCACATACATGCCGTGGCAGCCGCTACGGAGGAGCCCGAGCTGCTGACGAGGTACTCATCCCTGACGAGCTTGGCGCGGACGACAGCTTGGTGCCGCCGTTGGCTGCGGTGCCTGCGGGCGAGGCGGACTGCCCACGAGAAGCAGCCCGATTCCTCCGCTGGGCTCGTACTAACACGCGAGGAGCTCAGCGACGCCATCGTGGGTTGGATCGGCTGGGTTCAATCCATTCATTTCAAGGGGGAAGCGACGGCCCTCCGAAAGAACGCTCCGCTGCCGGCGCGCAGTTCCATCGCCTCGCTGAGCCCCTTCCTGGACGAGTGAGGCCTACTCCGCGTCGGCGGTAGACTCAAGAACGCCATGCTTGCCTACGACGCTAGGCACCCTGTGATCTTACCGGGACCGTCACGATTAACGAGGCTTATCGTGGAGGCGTGCCATCGGCGGACATTGCACGGAGGCGTGCAGGCGACCCTCGGAGCCCTTCGCCAGGAGTACTGGGTCCCTCGCGGTCCTACATTGGTGAAAGGGTGTATTCGGCGTTGCGTGACGTGCGTGCGATGGCGGGCGGCCTCTCCACAGCCTCTCATGGGAAGCCTCCCTGGTCCTAGGGTAACTCCCGCTCGGCCATTCCTGAACACCGGAGTCGACTACGCCGGACCGGTGTGGCTGAGAACCTCCAAGGGACGGGGCCAGCGGGCCTCTAAAGCATTTATCGTTGTATTTGTATGTCTGTGTTCTAGAGCGGTACACCTCGACGTGGCTACGGACTACACCGCCGACGCCTTCCTGGCTGCGCTGCGCCGCTTCGTTTCCCGCCGCGGTTTATGCCAGACGTTGTACAGCGACCGCGGCACAAATTTTGTCGGTGCCGACGCACAATTGCGCGATCTATTCTCCGCCGGCGGCCAGGGGGGCCGACGCATCGCCGAGCGCGTTGCTGAGGAGAGGATAGCGTGGCGCTTCAATCCCCCCGCTGCGCCCAACTTTGGCGGCATCTGGGAGGCAGCCGTCAAGTCGACCAAGCATCACTTGCGGCGAGTGATCGGCGAGGCGACTCTCACCTACGAGGAGATGGCCACGTTATTATCTCAGGTAGAGGCGTGCCTGAATTCACGTCCCCTGCAGGCCCTGACAGACGACCCTGAGGACCTCAGCCCGCTCACTCCCGGCCACTTCCTCATAGGCTCGGCCATCAGCGCCGTACCGGAGCCGTCGTTGACGGAGGAGAGGACGACTCGGTTGTCCCGCTGGCAACAAGTCCAGCAGATGCGGGACCATTTCTGGGCGCGATGGTCTAAGGAGTACCTCCAGACGCTTGCTCATCGCCCAAAATGGCTCAAGGCCGACCTGGAGGTGCGAGCAGGCCGCTTGTGCCTCGTAAGAAGCGAGACGACGCCCCCGACCAAGTGGCCCCTCGCTCGGATTGAGGAGCTACTCCCGGGCGACGACGGACAGGTTCGCGTCGTCAAAGTTCGAACGGCGGCATCGATACTCACACGGCCTGTGAGCAAACTCGTCCTCCTCCCGGACTGCGACGCACCGGGAAGCGAGGAGTAATCGCGAAAACCGTCATCTCCTTATCGCGTCGTGCGCAAATTAGAATCAATTAAATATCATCGTAGGTTGCACCATACGAGGCGGGCGGAATGTTCGCGATCGAACCGTAATCCCCCGTGAATAATCGCGAGGAGAAT